CTGGTCTGTCCAGGCCCAAAAAGGTTTCCATTCTGGTTGTGACAGCCCTTTGGTTTCCCCTATCACCAGCTGGTTCAGTTTTGCCAGGACAGGATCTCTCTGCATCCAAAGTCTGATATCGTCAGCAGTGATTGGGAGTGTGTCCAGAAAATTTAAAACCATTACAGACTCTTCCACTGGGGGTACCACTGGTGATGTATCTGCTAACGCATCTCAATGCATCCATGTTTGCTACTTGGCCTGCTGGATGGTATTCTAACTTGTAATTATAAGGACTTAGCATTAGACCCCACCGCTGAATGCAGCCTGAGACTATGGGTGGCACTGTCTTGTCCTCTTTGAGCAGACCAAAGTAGGGATTTGTAGTCCGTTATTATCACAAATTTTCATCCATAAAGGTATGTTGGAACTTCATGTCTCCAAATGTGACAGCCAATTCATCTTTCTGTATCTGGGCATTTTTACAATCTGCATTAGTCCTGGATGCATATGCTATTGGATGTTCCTCTCCATTGGGCTGCCTCTGAGCTAATACCACCCTGAAGCCATAAGGGGAGGCATCGAGTATCATTACGAGATCTTTCTTGGGATCATAGAGGATGACAGCTGTTTCTTTACTTCCCTGAAAGCTATGGTTTGGCTACGCAACCATTTCCAATTAAAAAGCCAGTCGTAGTGTCTGTTTGAAGCTCAGTTGGGCTTCAGCATAGTTTTGCATAGTTACATCTTTATAGGTGAAATGAAGATTGGTGGGGCAGTAAACAGTGATGAGGACAGCCTTAGATTAAATGAGAATATAGATAGTGTAGTGATTGTAATGAGGTAAGTCAGCTGGACCTCACAGACCCCACAATTGATCTGAGATTTTCATTAACACTTGAACCAAGGTCACATGCTTCTGCCAGTCGAGTTAACCTAGTGAAAAATCCCAATACAGATTCCCCCAGTTCTCGAATTGCTGAGTAAAAGCGATAATGTCTCAGAATTAGAGGAGGTTTGGGGTTATAATATTCCTGAACTATGTCCATCAATTCTTCAAAGGTTTTAGTATCTTCTATATCAAAGATGTTGTTCAACTTGAGGGTGCAGAAAACATTACAAAGACATTACCAGTACTGGACAGTTTAAGCTATAGGGAGACGCTAGGGCTTTATACCTTGGAGCATAGGAGGCTGAGGGGTGACCTTATAGAGGTTTATAAAATCATGAGGAACATGGGTATTGTGAATAGCCAAGGTCGTCTTCCTAGGGTGTGGCACCCAAAATTAGGCATAGGTTTAAGGCGAGAGGGGAAAGATTTTAAAAAAGGACCTGAGGGGTAACTTTCCCATGCAGAGGGTGGTGCATGTATGGAATGAGCTGCCAGAGGAAGTGGTGGAAGCTGGTACAATTACAACATTTAAAAGGATGTGTATATGAATAAGAAGGATTCAGAGGGATATGGGCCAAATTCTGTCAACAGGGACTAGGTCAGATTGGGATGTCTGATCAGCATTGATGAGTTGGAATGAAGGGGCCTGTTTCTGTGCTGTACAACTGTATGACTGTATGGTACTGCACAGAAAGTTAAGCTCCTAATAACAGAAAAAGCTTTGGCTCCTAATAACAGAAAAAACTGTCAGGAGAATTACCTTTTTGCTTTTCATAAACCACAATGTTGTTTGCCCAGAGATGATGATGCATTCTTTCCAAATATTGGACACAGTCTTCAGCAGTAGGGTCGAACAGGTCAAACTTCCTAACAAAGGTGTGATGTAAGAAATGCTTTTCCTAACTCAAAGATGACTGTTGCGAGCGAGTTTCTTCAGGAGTGTGCTTTACTTTCATTGCCACTACAATAACTCCTCAGAGGCCAAGATCCCGTTACCAAGTCACACTTTATTTATACATTTATTTATCTACACATTTGTCCCTAGTATTGCCTCTTTAGAGTTAGCTCTCAGAGTGCCAAATCTTTGGCACCCCTGTTTACATCTGCCAGCCAGGGTTCCCTGATTGGACCAGATTATCAGCCCCAATCAGGGAACTCATATTCTGGGAGGTCCAGCTGACTCACCTCATTACAATTACTACACTATCTATATCCTCTTAATCTGAGGCTGTCCTCATCACTCTTTACTGCCCCACCAATCTTCATTTCATCTGCAAACTTACTGATCAACCCTCCTACATTCAAGTCTAAATTGTTTAAATATACCACAATAGCAAGGACCCAGACTCTGATCCCTGTGATACCCCACTAGACACAGGCTTCCAGGCACAAAAAAAAACTCCTTGTCATCACCCTCTATTTCCTGCTGCTCAGTCAATTCTGGATCCTCGGATCCCATGGACTCTTACGTTTGCTAACAGTCTCTCGTCAAGAGCCTTGCAGTGGTGCAGGTAAACTATGTCAAATGCCTTACCCTTATATATACACACTGCTTTAAAAAAATCAACAAAGTTTGTCAGACATGACTTCCCCTTAACAAAATCACGCTGACTGTTCTTGGGTTATCTTTTCCTCTCCATGTGCAGATTAATTCTGTGCATCAGAATTACTTCCAATAATTTCCCGACCAGTGAGGTTGAACTGATTTGCCTGTAGTTTTCTGTTTTAACCCTTCCTCCTTCAATAATGGTACCAGAATGGCTACCCTCTAGTCCTCTGGTGCCTCTCCTGCATTGAAATTATTACCAGTGTCCTTGCTATTTCTTCCCTTACTTTACTCAATGGCCTGTGATAGATTTCATCTACTTTCTCTACTTTTAAGCCTGCCAGACAGTCAGAACCTCCTCTTTCTCTATGCTAATTTCTTTATTATAACATAGTTCTTTTCCCTGATTTTCATATCCACACTAATGGACAATGACATAAAGTATTTATTTAGAATGCTACCTACGTCCTCCAGCTCCATGCACAAAATATCATTGTGGTCCTTAATGGACCTTACTTCTCCCCTAGTTATCCTTTTACCCTCAATATACTTGTAAGATAACTTGTGATTATCCTTTATTTTACCTACCATTATCCTTTCTTGCCCCCTTTTTACTCTCCCAATTTCCATTTTAAGTTCCCCTTTGCATATTCTGTACTCCTCGGGTTTCTGCTGTTTTGAGCCCTTGGTATCTGCCATAAACCTTCCATTTTCTCTTTATCCAATCCTGTATATTCCTTGATTTTGTATCCAGCGTTCACTGAATTTATTGGTTCCACCCTCTATCTTGTGTAATAAAATGTAGGGAGTAGTGTTGATAAATGGGAACAAGTAGATATACTATATTACAATTTCCAGCAGATATCTGTAGAGGTAAATAAGCCACATAAAATATTAGATCAGAAGTCACACAATACCAGATTATAGGCCAACCAATTTATTTGAAATCACAAGGTTTCAGAATGTTGCTTCTTTGTTAGGTGGAGTGGAGGGAAGTGCACAGACACAGAATTTATAGGCAGAGAGGTCAAAAGATAGTACAAAGGAGCAGTGCTCCAAAAGCTTGTGATTTCAAAAAAACAGGTTGGACTATAACGTGGTGTCGTGTGACTTCTTACTTCGTCCACCCCAGTCCAACACTGGCACCTCCACAACATAAAATATAAACACATTCAGACACAAGCATATGGCATGGGGAGTTATATTACCTGTGTAGAAGATTGATTAGCCAACGGGAAACAGAGAGTATAGATAAGTAGGTCAGTTTACAGTTAGGAAAACTTTAGCTAGTGGTGGCATAGTGACTCAGTGGTTAGCACTGCTGCCTCACAGCACCAGGGACATGGGTTCAATTCCACCCTCGGGTGACTGTTGTGTGAAGTTTGCATGTTCACCCCATGTCTGCGTGGGTTTCCTTTGGGTGCTCTGCTTTCCTCCTATAGTCCAAAGATGTGCAGGTTAGGTAGATTGGCCATGCTAAATTGCCTGTAGTGTCCAGGAATGTGCAGGCTGGGTGGGTTAGCCATGAGAAATGCAGGGTTACAGGAATGGGGTGGGGTGTGGGTCTGGGTTGGATGCTCTCCAGAGGGTTGATGTGGTCTTGATGGGCTGAATGGCTTGCTTCCACACTGTAGGGATTCTATGATTCTAGTGGAATGCGAAAGGGGTTAACGTTGGGGCCTTGACCATTTACATCTTATATTAAGGACTTGGTTAAAGGGATTGAATATAGGTTAGCTAAATGTTTTGATGTCATGAAAATAAGTAGGAAATCAAGTTGTGGGGAAAATACAGAGAGTTGCAAAGGTACTTAGATAAGTTTAAACGAGTGGGCAAAAATTTGGCAGAAGAGTTGGAAAATGTGGGCTTTTTCATTTTATCAAGAAAAACGGAAAAGTATAAAATTATTTTTAAGTGGAGCGAGTCTGCAGACTGCTGAGATACAGAGGGATCTGTGTGTCCTGGCTGATATTTCTCAAAAAATATCAGCATGCAGTTTCAACAGTAATTAGGAAATCAAATAGAATATTGGGCTTTATTGCAATGGGGATCCAATATGAAAGTAGGTAGATCTTTTCTGTGTCTGCACTGGGCAGTGGCTGACCTGGTCGTGGTCTCAGCTCCATTTTCCAAACTGCACTCCACAACCTTTGACTCCCTTATCTATCAGCTTTGTATAAAGACACAGCCATCACTACCATCTGGAGAAATAAATTCCACACTCTAACAAGCTTCTAAGAAAAATAGATTATTTTCATCACTGTATTAAATAGGAGCCCTCTAATTAACATAGAAACATAGATATAGAAGTAGGAGTAGGCCATTTTGCCTTTGAGCCTGCTCTGCCATTCATTATGACGATGGCTGATGATCTAACTCAATATCCTGTTCCTGCTTTACTCCAGTATTGTTTGATCCCTTTAGCCCTAAGTGCCATTTCCAACTGCTTCTTGAAATATTATTAAAGTATTCTTAATTTTAAACAATGTCCCATGATTTTAGTCTCCTTGACAAGAAGAAACATCCTTCAGGTATCCACCTTACCCAGATCCCACAGGATTTGATATGTTTCAATAAGATTACCCTTGGAAGTTGGAGAAGGTCTCAGTCCAGTTGTGGCTCCGTTCTCTAGCAGGAAGAAATTCATAAAACCAAGAGGCTGTGAAATGAACAAAAATAATATTGTCTTAACTTTGCCTTTTTTAATGTATAGCTTGTGTAATTGATTGGTGCTGTTTTTGTGGTGATTTGTACACATTTTATTGTATTTTCACAAATATAAGTGATAATGAAATTCTATCCATCTATCCATCTATGTATCTCTCCCAAGCAGGCCTAACCTGTTCAATCTTTCCTCATCAGATAAGCACTTCATCTCAGGAATGAGTTAAGTAAATTTTTGCTGAATTGCTTGTCTAAGCAATTTTTAAAAATCAAACAAGGAGACCAGAACACTACACAGTAGTCTAGATTTAGTCTAACTTAGAGCTGTAGCGACACTTCCTTATTTCTTTATTTAATTTTATTTGCAACAATCACCAACATTTAATTTGCCTTCCTAATTATTTGCTATCCCTAACATTTTATGCTTCATGTAGCAGATGCCCAGATCCCTCTGGTGGTTGGAGTTTTATTTCCAAAAATATACCTTATTCATAAAATTTGTGAAAGTACCTGATGAAACATTAAACTTGAAAATTACAGAAAACACAATGAAATTGAACTTGTCTCCATGCATCATGTTCCACTCTTGTGCCTCAATGCAATTGTGATTGTCTTAATATTTACAATGTACATTCCAAATTAGGCATATAGCCCAAGTGCAAAACATTTCAAATATACAGAAAGTCCAATAGAATTCAATTTTTCTTCTTCTCGGATGTCCCACTTTTTGGATGCCTCAGTACAGTTTCAATACTCTTGATAATCACAATATACATTTCTTGTCAGGTACATAGCCTGAGGGTTCTACACTGTTTCCAGTCCCTACTGTTGTCTAGTTTCTTCTTAAAACAAGTAAGACAACAGAATGTTATGAATGAATTTGCCTAGGTGATCCACAATACCGAAGTGGTCAAATCACTACAAACACAAGCCAGTACCAATTCAAAACAATCCCAACTTTATTAGGAAATAAGTTAGAATAACCTTTAATACCAAGCATACTATCTGTAATCCTATTTGGCTCCTTAAGATTACAGTGCTTCCTGAGTCTCTTGTGGACTTGTGCAGTTGCTCTCTCCTTAGCTCTGTCTCTGGGTTTGAGAAGCTGCTTTCTCTCTTTCTCTCTTTCGCTCTTTCACCCTCTGGATGGTCAGCTGGTCTCTGCCTCTTGCCGTACTGGTCTCCCTAGAACGCCTTGAGAAGATTCAAAAGAGTGGTCTGCTGATGAACTATGTTTTTATACCTTTTAGGATGGGGTTTTCTGGAAATTTTTATAATTCAGACCAATCAGGGAAACTCACTTAATAGGTTGAAACAGTTTTTACTTGGCCAATGTACCCAGCATCCCTTGGTGTTTGGCCAAGCTAGCAAACTATCTGTATTTTAGCAGCCAGGAATATACCAGCCTGCAATACCACTCCATCCTTATTTACATACTAAAACTGTATTCAGGCATTGACCCATATTCACTCAAATTGTTTTCTTCATGACATATCCTTTCTTCACTCTTGCTTGGTCGTGTTATGCCACATTATGTCATGACAATGATCCCGTCAGTTATTGTGCTATTACTCCATGTGTTCCCATTATTTAAGATATAGCATTTCACCTCACTGCAAACAGCACAGGGAAAGTCTTTTTGGCCGTATGATAACCTTCGCTGATTTTGCTCTGTTTCTGAAGTTGCAAACTATAACAACTCTTCCTTTATTCTGCTTGAGCACACCTTCCTTTGGTGCATATTGGCTTTCAGGATTGAAGTCTTAGAGTTAATCAGCATGGAAACAGACCCTTTGGTATAACCAGTCTATGCTGGCCATAATCTCGGACTAAACTAGTCCCACCTGCCTGCGTTTGGCCCATATCGCTCCAAAAATTTCTTATTCATGTACTTATCTAAATGTCTTTTAAACATTGTAACTATACCCATATCCAGCACTTCCTCTGGAAGTTCATTCCACACAAGAACCACCCTCTGTGTTTTTAAAAAAAAAAGCCCCTCATGTCTTTAAGTCGTAAGGCCATGCTTGCACTGGTGCTCTGTTCATGGGCACTAAGGCTCTTTGATTTCTCCTTACAGCACCTGACATTTCTAAGAAATATGCTCTTGGCTATTCTGTTATCTCAATAATAATTTCTATTGCTGTCCCTCTCAGATCTATACTACTTCTCCTGGTTGTAGATCCGACAATTCTCTTGCTCAACGTCAAGGATTGAAGTTTCTGGTTGATATCTGACTTTGAGCTTCTTCACATTGTCTCATTCTATCATGGTCTCCATTGTGCTATTTGATTTCTTGGACAGTGAAAGAAGCTGTACTCCAAGTCTTTTCCTCATTAATAATTCTGCTGGCAATAGCCCATCCTGAAATGGCGATAAGGTCTATTTCCCACTCTGGGCTATGGTGGTCACGCAATCTATCTGTAAGGTTAAAATTGGACTGTGTTCACATAGTTGCAATGCAAAACCTCCAGATAAAAGGGGGAGAAATGCACTCAACGCTGCCCCCATCCTGATGACCACCTTTGTGCACAGCTGCATCAAGCTGTGTGTAGACCCTTGGTATGTAAACACCAAGTGTCACTACGTGCTGAGATTCTACCTGTCCCCAGTGTTGCTATTGCGGACTGCTCCAAGTAGTTGGACCATTTCATATCAGCCGTCCTTCGAGGAGAAATTTGCAAACAGAACCACTTTTGATCATAAGTCCATCAGGAAATGGCTAGCACGTAGCGTCCTCGAGACCCTATGGGAAAAGGCGAGGGTGGATCGTGTCGCGTGGTTCCTGAGCAGACTGTCAAAGTCATTTGGCAGAATGCCTCATCGCCAAACCTTTTCAACCAGCACCAAGGCATTGCTTGCCTGGCAGTGAAAAGGGCATTACCTGTAAGATCCTTCTTGTCTGCCTGGACTCTCTGCGCCACCGCATGCTACCTTCAAAGTGGCTGTGGGGTGGTTGAGACTGTCACGCATTTCCTGCTGGAATGTGCCTTTGCAAAGGAAGTCTGGAGATACCTATCACCTCAAAATTGTGGCAGAAACACAGTATTCCTTGTTGTGGGACTGACACCTTTTGGCAGAGAGTAGAACTGCATAAGGTAAAAGAAAGGAAGGAGCCAGTTAATACAGGAGGGAAAGCAAATGCACCCTGGGATTCACAGATCTACCAGGAATAATATATTATGAAGATAGATTGTATAAAAACTTGGTTTTGCATTACTTTGCGTTTAGAGAGTTGAGGGAATGATCTAATCTTTGAGTTTCACATAATATAGTGATTCAATAAGTTAGATTTGGAGAAGATCTTTCCTCTGGTGGGGAAAATTAGAGCTAGGTCAATTAAGAGAGAAATCAGAATCAATAGAACTCAATCTCCAAAAAATCCCATGCATGTTCATTAAACCATTGAAGTTTTGAAGATAGAGGTTGACATCATTTTTGGGTTGGAGTTCAGGGATCTACGGTAAAGGTGTGCAAATAAGACCATAAGACATGGACAAAAATTAGGACATTTGATCCATTAAGTTTGCTCCAACATTTGATTATGGCTGATATGTTTCTCAAACCAGTTCTTGTGCCTACTCCCTGTGACCCTGGATTCCCTCACTAATCAAGAACCTATCTATCTCTGTCTTAAAGACTCTAAATGACTTGGCCTCCACATCCCTCTGCAGCAATGAGTTCCACAGAGTCACCACCTTCTGGCTGAAGAACTTCCTTTTCATCTCAGTTCTAAAGGGTCATTCCATCCCTCTGAGGCTGTGCCCTTGGGCCCTCGTCTCACCAACTAGTGGATACATCTTTTCCATGTCCACTCTATCAAAGCCTCTCAGTTTTCTGTAAGTTTCAATGAGATTTCCCCCCCTCATCCTTCTAAACTTCATCAAGTACAGACGCAGAGACATCATCTGCTCCTCATGTGACCAGCCCTTCATCCATGGGATCATTCTTGTAAATCTCCTCTGGACCTCCTTCAACACCAGCCCTGTATCCTTAGATACAAGGCCCAAAATTGCTCACAATGTTCTAACTGCAGTCTGACCAGAGCTTACACACTCTCAGCAGTAAATCTCTGCTCTTGTATTCTAGCCCTCTTGAAATGAATGCTAACATATCCCTCTACAGACTCCCTACTTCCTCAACACTACCTGTCCCTCCACTTATCCCTGTGTCATCTGCAAACTTAGCAACAATGCCCTCAGTTGCTTTGTCCACATTGTAATGTATAATGTGAATAGTTGTGCTCCCAAAACTCCACTGGTCACGGGCTGCCATCCTGAAAAAGACCCCTTTATTCCCACCCTCTGCCCTCTGCCTTCTGCCAGTTAGCCAATCCCATGTCCATGCCAGAACCTTGCCCTAAAAGCATGGACTCTTATCTGATTTAGCAGCCACCTGTGCAGCACCTTGTTAAAGGCCTTCTGGAAATCCAAATAGATCATGTCCACTGGCTTTCCTTTGTCTAAATTACTGGATACCCTCTCAAACAATTCCATCAGATTAGCCGGTCAGGCTAACTAGCCTATAGTTTCCTGTCTTCTGTCTCCCTCCCTTCTTAAACAGGATTGTTACTTTAGCCATTTTCTAGTGCTGTGGGACCCTGCCTGCCTCCAGTGATTCCTGAAAGATCACCACCAATGCCTCCACAATCTCTCTCAGCTATCTCCTTCAGAACCATGGGGTGTAGTCCATCTGGTCCAGGCAGTTAATCTACCTTCAGAAATTTCAACTCTTTCAGCACATTCTCCTTAGAGATGGTCTCTACACTCACCTCTGCCCCTGAATCTCTTGAAGTTCTGGCACGTTACTGGTGTCTTCCACCAGGAAAACTGATGCAAAGTACCTATTCAGTTCCTCTGCCATTTCTTTGTTCCCCATTACTACTTCTCCAGCCTCATTTTCCAGCAGCCCAGTGTCCACCCTTGCCTCTCTCTTACCTGTTATATATCTAAATAAAAGTCTTGCAATGTTTTTCTATGTTGCTAACTCGTTTAG